CGTGTGGCCTGGGCCCCGGGGGCAGCAGAGCGCGTGCGTGGCCAGCTGGTCGTGCTGCGCCTGCGCTGCGAGCACGCCAGCGCGGACGCAGGCCGCGCACGTCGGCGGCAGGTGCAGGGGCAGTGCCAGCCAGAGGTGGACCGCCACGGCGAACTCATCGTCAGGCATCCACTCCTCGCCCTCCTCCGCAGGTAGCAGCCAGGCGCCGGCCCCTGGCCCGCCCGCCGCTCGCAGCAGGGCCCGCAGGGAGGGCTGGAGCTCGTCCAGCAGCGCGTCCCGCGCGGTCTCCGCCAGCGCGTGTCCCCAGAACCGCTGCAAGTGCCGTGGCTGCTGCGATAGCCCGAGCCGCGCCTCGTCGTGCGTGTCCAGCCCCTCCCGGGCGAGCGTCGCCGCGAGCCCCCCCAGCCGAGCCGCCAACAAGGGCGCCCGGGTCGTCAAAGCCCCGAGGGAGGCGGCGCCAGCGACCCGTGCCACGGTGGGCAGGGCGGCGACCGTGCTGGCCAGCCAGGCAGCGGGCGCCCACCGCCCCGCGCCTGGGAGTCCCAAGCCGCTTTCGCGCGACGGCAAGCTTGACCAGCGAAGGCGGGTGGAGCCCAGCGGACCGGCACGGACCAGGGCGGCGGCAGCTGTGGCCATGGCGTCGCCCAAGCTCGCCAGCGCGGCCGCGCCGGCGGGCAGCGTGCGCAGGCGAAAGGTGACGTCGGCTGGCGTGAGCACTCGCAGCAGGCACAGGCCCTGGTGCCTGCCAAGCCCGGCCTCCACCAGCAGCTGGAGACGCGTGTACGCTCGCCGCAGGCGCTCTAGGAGAGTCTGCCAGACCTCTGCCATGGCCTCTAGGAGGAGAGAAGAGGAGGAGGAGGAGGAGGAGGAGGAGGAGGAGGAGGAGGAGGAGGAGGAGGAGGAGGAGGAGGAGGAGGAGGAGGAGCGCCTGTTTCCACAGGGACGCGGAAGGCGGCCGGCTGTCGGACCCGCGCCACAGGCAGGCTCGTGCGCCACGGGCGAGGCGAGGGCGGGATCCGCGGTTCCTTCTGGCCGCCAGTAGGTGCTCTTCGCAGCGTTTAGCCGCAGGCCAGCCCGGGCGACGGCAGGCCCCGCTGTCGCGAGGGCGTGCGGCATCGCCGGCGTGGGCGTGAAGACGTCGACGTCGTTCATGTAGGCGGTCACCTCTCGCCCGAAGCCGGCCTCCTGCAGGCTCCCGTCCAGCGTGCGGACGGCTGGGTCGACGCCGAGCGCGAAGAGTAGCGGCGAGAGCGGGCCCCCCTCGCATCACCCCCTTGCGCACCTGCACGGGGACGTGCGCCCCGTCGTCTGCCACCAGCATGTGCTCCGTGTCGGCGGCAAGCAGGCGGTGCTCCCTCGACCCCCCCTCCCTCCTCCTCCTCCTCCTCCTCCTCCTCCTCCTCCTCCTCCTCCTACCCCTTTTCCTCCTCCTCCTCCTCCTCCTCCTCCTCCTCCTCCTCCTCCATTCCTTCTCCTTATAGATAACTCGTCCCTGTCGCACCCCGAGGCCAATTTTTAGGGCGTGCCGTGCGTTTCGCATGAGACGTCCTCACTGTTTATGACTCTGAAGCTTAAAAAGTAAGTACCCTGAAACGTACCCAACCCTTGCTATACATGTGGCGATTATACTCAGCACTATTCAATGCTGACTGGCATTCTGAAGGACCCGCAGTGCGCAAGAAGAGCACCCAGCAGTGATTTCAGAAGAGCGCAGCAAGAAGAGGAACGGCAACTCTACAAAATGGAAACACAGGGGCGTTGAAAGAAACCCGCCCAACAAGTGAAAACACAAGGGCGCGGCGGCGAGGGCTAAAACAGAACATCAGTTTAACTCAGCAACGCGCTGCGCTGAGCGCGGTCCCGAGGTGATCCGCGTATGACGTACGTCCGCTGGGCCTCCCAGGAGCCCACGAAAGTGGCGACAGTTGCGCAGATCGCAAGCCCCCCGGGGGCGGCGAGGTCCCGAGGTGGTCCGCGTATGACGTACCTCCGCTGGGCCTTACAGGAGCCCACGAAAATGGCGACAGTTGCGCAGATCGCAAGCCCCCCAAGGGGGCGGCGAGGTCCCGAGGTGGTCCGCGTGGGACCCACCTCCGCTGGGCCTGCCAGGAGCCCACGACAGTGGCGACAGTTGCGCAGACCGCAGGCCCCCCAGGGGGCGGCATGGTCCCGAGGTGGTCCGCGTATGACGCACCTCCGCTGGGCCTGCCAGGAGCCCACGACATTGGCGACAGTTGCGCAGATCGCAAGCCCCCAGGGGGCGGCGAGGTCCCGAGATGGTCCGCGTATGACGCACCTCCGCTGGGCCTCACAGGAGCCCACGAAAGTGGCGACGGTTGCGCAGGGGGCGGCGATGTCCCGTGGTGATCTGCCTATGACGTACCTTCGCTGGGCCTCCAAGGAGCCCACGAAAGTGGCGACAGCTGCGCAGATCGCAAGCCCCCCAGGGGGCGGCGAGGTCCCGAGGTGGTCCGCATATGAAGTACCTCCGCTGGGCCTCCCAGGAGCCCACGAAAGTGGCGACAGTTGCACAGATCGCAAGCCCCCCAGGGGGCGGCGAGGTCCCGTGGTCGTCCGCGTATGACGTACCTCTGCTGGGCCTCCCAGGAGCCCACGAAAGTGGCAACAGTTGCGCAGATCGCAAGCCCCCCCAGGGGGCGGCGAGGTCCCGTGGTGATCTGCCTGTGACGCACCTCTGCTGGGCCTCCCGGGAGCCCACGGACGTGGCGACGGTTGCGCAGATCGCAAGCCCCCCAGGGGACGGCGAGGTCCCGAGGTTGTCCGCGTGGGACCCACCTCCGCTGGGCCTCCCATGAGCCCACGACATTGGCGTCAGTTGCGCAGATCGCAGGCCCCCCAGGGGGCGGCGAGGTCCCGAGGTGGTCCGCGTGAGACCCACCTCCGCTGGGCCTGCCAGGAGCCCACGAAAGTGGCGACAGTTGCGCAGATCGCAAGCCGCCCAGGGGGGCGGCTGGTCCGCGTGGGACCCACCTCCGCTGGGCCTCCCAGGAGCCCACGAAAGTGGCGATAGTTGCGCAGATCGCAAGCCCCCCAGGGGGCGGCGAGGTCCCGAGGTGGTCTGCGTACGCCGTACTTCCGTTGGGCCTCACAGGAGCCCACGAAAGTGGCGACAGTTGCGCAGATCGCAAGCCCCCAGGGGGCGGCGAGGTCCCGTGGTGATCTGCCTATGACGTACCTTCGCTGGGCCTCCAAGGAGCCCACGAAAGTGGCGACGGTTGCGCAGATCGCAAGCCCCCAGGGGACGGCGAGGTCCCGAGGTGGTCCACGTATGACGTACCTCTGCTGGGCCTCCCAGGAGCCCACGAAATTGGCAACGGTTGCGCAGATCGCAAGCCCCCCAGGGGGCGGCGATGTCCCGAGGTAGTCCGCGTGGGACCCACCTCCGCTGGGCCTCACAGGAGCCTACGACATTGGCGACAGTTGCGCAGATCGCAAGCTCCCCAGGGGGCGGCGAGGTCCCGAGGTGGTCCGCGTGGGACGTACCTCCGCTGAGTCTCCCAGGAACCCACGACAGTGGCGACAGTTTCGCAGATCGCAAGCCCCCCAGGGGGCGGCGAGGTACAGAGGTGGTCCGCGTATGATGTATTTCCGCTGGGCCTCCCAGGAACCAGCGAAAGTGGGGATAGTTGCGCAGATCGCCGCAGCCCGACGGCACGAGAGAAGAGGAGAGGGGAACACAGGAAACAGCAGAGGAGGAGGGGAGGAGAGGGGAGGAGGAAGGAGGAAGGACGGGGCGACCACACTGCTCTATTCAAAACGAGAACCCAACACAGGAGGGTTGGGGAAAAAGGTTCACCGCACGCAGGATAGGGAGCCCACAATTTGCGTACGTGCCGAACCACGTACATGAATACGGCCCCCCAGGCCGCGAGGCCAACGTCGTGATACGAACGTTTGTGCAGTGCGCACTCTTGAAACCAGCGCGGATTCATGTGCGTGTGCATCTTATTTCGCTCCTGCCAGGAGGGGGGACACCCGCCATGTCAAGCATCGCTTCGCACTTCGCATTTTGTGTCCGCAGCCGTCTAGGGTCTGGGGGCGAAGCGCGTTTGCTTTGAACAGGCCCCGAAGCCCAAGGCGCAGGGATTCAAAAGTCCTGTATTGAGCGCTCGTGGGCGGCTCCCGCTGGGCCTCTTCCGCTCGGGCTCCCCTCGACCAGAGGTCCCGCCCCCCGCCCCCCGTCCCGAAAGATGGTTCGCGAGCGGCTCGCTTCGCGATGGCCCCGTCCTCTTGCCTCCTCCTCCTCCTCCTCCTCCTCCTCCTCCTCCTCCTCCTCCTCCTCCTCGTCCTCCTCCTCCTCTCCTCCTCCGTCCTCCTCCTCCCTCCTTTTCCTCCTCCTCCCTCCTTTTCCTCCTCCTCCTCTTCCTTCTCCTCCTCCTCCTCCTCCTCCTCCTCCTCCTCCTCTCGTCGGACCTCGAACACTCCCCTCCTACTCCTTGACAGTGGCCACTCGTCAGGGCCCACGCCGATCCGCCCGATCCGATCCGATGCCGATGGCGACCAGCTCGAGGGCCCAGGGCGGCTCCGAGTGCTCGCCTCGGCCCTCCGCGGCTCGGGACCGCTGGCCGAGCTCCCTCCCCCCCGCCCGCGACAGCCAGGAGGGCCCGACGAGGCCAACATCATTGGTTTTCCCACGGTTTTTTGAGGATTTGGGTGTTTTATCTTCGTTTCGGTCTCCCGACCGCCCACGGCGCCCCAAGGTGGGGAGGGGCCGACGACGACGACGACGACGACGACGACGACGACGACGACGACGACGACGACGACGACGACGACGACGACGATGCCCGATGCGCCCAGTCCGATTCGATGCCGACGCTCCAACGATCTGGTGTGGTGCGATGCCCGCACGGCGCTGCTGAGCCGCCGCTGCGCCCCGCGGTGCGCCGGGGAGGCATCTGTGGAGCAGCGGGGGAGCAGCGGGCCGTGGGCCCCTCACCGCTCCCGCGCGCCCTCCCCTGGGGGCCGCCGGGGGGGAGGTGAAGAACGTCGGCGGCCGCGACGGCGCGGCGGTGCCCCAGCTCTACGTGGGGTTTGCCAGCCTGAAGCCGTTGCTCCGGCAGATCCGCGGCTTCCAGAAGGTTCAGGCTCGGCGGGCGCCAAGCAGAGGCCGACGCCAGTCATCCTGGGCCCCGGGCCGCAGGGCTTTCACCGGCGGGGCTTTGGCCGATGCGTGGTGTGGGGTTGGAAGGGGTCCAGGCCTGGCGATCGCCAGCCAGACACCCCTGGCAGTCCTTCTGGGTTCAGCTTTTCCCACGCGGCTGGCCTTTGGTTGGCCAGCAGGTTTGGGTTTGGAAGGCTTTCACGTGCGTCTCGTGCATGTAGCCTCATGCCCCCCTTGACCAATGGCGGCCTGATGGCTCTCGCACGCGACCGAGACTCTTCGCGCTCATCTCCCGCCCGCGGCGTCCTCGTGGCAGCCGAACACAGAGAAGGCCACGCCAGGCACAGGGTGGGCCGACGGCTTCCCTTCGATTTGACTGCGTCATTCTTTAATTCCCTCGTTCCTTGATTTCCTTGGGACTGAAAACGACGACGACGACGACTCAAACGGAAAAGCGTCTCACACACGCCGAACGAGTCAGCAGATTCGCATATCGCTTTACAATTGTATGGTTCGTTTAGATTTGATTTTCCCTCGTGGCAGCCGCGGGGCAACCCACGGGACATCCCGCGGGACAGCCCGCGGGACAAAGATGGGACAACCACGGGACAAGCCACAGGACAACCCACGGGACAGCCGCGGGACAGGTTACGGGACACCCACGTGACATCCCACTGGGCAACCACCGGCAATCCAGAGGACACCGACGTGACATCCACGGGACGGCCACGGGACAATTCTGCGCTCCGCGGACCCTCAGGAAGCATGCCTCGTTGTTTTTTGTTGCATGTACCGAGTAAGCAAAGGATCATTGCCTACACCATGAGCCCTGCGCCGCCAAATGTGCGTGAGCGTGTCATCATTGCATGATGAGTAACAAGAGAAGTTCACGGGCATCGTCTTCGTCGATTAAGAATCGATGATACCGCTATAATTTGGCCCAGCCATGGCCGATGCACCACCGCCCTCGCGCAACTTCGCCTCGCCCCGACTCGCGATATGAATTCAAGCCGACGCAGATTTCCAACTTGGGGCCGCTGCGTCCTCGCCGCCAAGTCTTCGATCCAGGTTTGGATCGATGTCTCGCACTAGGCTCTCGTTGTTTGAGGCTGAGCCTGAGCCGGAGCTGGAGCTGGAGCTTTTGAGCCTTTGCTTGGGCCTGGGCGTGGGCTTTGGATTGACCTCGGGTTCGTACGTGCGCTTGAGTTTGGACTTTGGGCGATCTGGTCACAGCATAACGCAAATGAGCATACCCTCTAGCATTGCACGGCACGGCAACGACATCACGAGGACACCACCGCCCCACCATCTATGACGCAACACGACGCTGCACCACGCCATGAGACACCAATCACCACACCACCAATACATTTTGTTCTCGCGAGTCGCAGCCCGCCTCAGATGGACGCCGCCACAACACCACCACGACACTGCGCCACAAGACCATGGCGACCGCCAGCCATGTGTGAAGTACAAGCGTCGGCCGCGAGCCCTTCACACCGTGGCCAGTCGCGCTTGGTTTCGCACGAACTTCCCGTCACTCACGGCGCGACCATGAATTTCCCGAATCCGATGTCCCTTTGACCGTGACTTCGCGAAGCAGGCTTTTTCATACCCATCACATCCGCTGCCTTTTTTGCAAGGGGCTTCACACATGTTTTTGGCAAGAGGCTGACGATCACCAGACATCTTCGGCTTCACTTTCTGGCAATATATCATATATATATATATATATATATCTTCACATGTTTGTTCGGCAAGGGGTTGTTGATCCACATCTTCAGCTACCTCGTTGGCTTGGTTTCCTCCGGGATTGGCCATAGTCATCGTTCATTCTATCGCGCCTTCTTGCAAGAGTGCAAACAACTTCTGGGCCAAGGGTGGGCAAAGCCACGCCTCGCGTGGGGTTATGTTGGGATTCTCGTGCAGGTGCCAGCGGGGAAGTCGGTGCCAGTGACGTTTGTCCTCACGGAGGACGACTGGAGTTGGTACGACGAGGCCGCAAGCAAGTGGCGGTCCGCTTCGCAGACTGGCGAGAAGATCACCATCAGCGTCGGGAGCTCCTCGGGGGACCTCATCTGGAACAAGACCCTCGCCTGCGGTGGACAACCCACGAAATCTGCGAACAAGAAAGTGTCCAAGTAGCCCTTTGGATCAGGGTACTCGCAGTATTTTTTGTCTGCGGTCCCCAAACTTTGGGTCCGATCGCTTTCCAGGGGCCGGAGCGCGGGCGACCCCCGTCAGCGCCGCTGCGTCCGGCCATCCAGTCCGCATTTGCTTTCCCCCAGAAGCTATGTGGCAGCTCGGCCCCCGCATGATCATATCATTGCCGCGGCTTGTAGTTTCTGTTGCTCGGTTGGAGTGCACAAAGTTCGCACCCAGTCGCATCGCGGAGAAAATCCGCGGTCAAGAATTTGCAGCATTTCTGAAAGCCGGGCGTCTCCGGGTGCATGAGTACCCGCAGCCCCCCAGGGCTGGCGCGGCCCAATTCCCTGGGGGCCTCCTGCGGGCGAGCCGCCCAAACGCGGAGGCAGCGTGAAAAGCTCAGTGCGGGAGGGAGCCGCGCCGCAGCGAGGGTGGAACACGCTGCTCGAGAGCCGGAGGAGGAGCAGGTTCCGATACCGCTGCGCTGCCCCCGTCGCCACGGCTGGACTCGCCTAGAAGGCCTGGCACGAGCGCCTTTTGCGAGAGGTGCGGGGGAGAAGCGGTGTCGGTACCTCTCGTCGGAGCACGGCAAGCAGACACGTATACCCATTGTGGCCGCCACAGGGCCTTGAAATCACAGCATCGCGTGATGTCGCTGTCTCTGCAGTGCACTGACCAGCCGCGCCGGCGTTGCTCCAGATGGGTGACGAAACTACGGAATCTGACTCGGATGTGTACGCCTCCTTGACGTTGCCGTCGTCTCTTGTGGGAATCTCCCTCTCCAGATCCCCGAGGTCAAGATTCTTCAGGCTTGCGCCACATCCGCCGACCCCTTAACTGAAGTCAATGATCAGATGGTTCGAATCCGTTTGGCGGTCGTTTTGGGGTTCTTGTCGGGTTTCTTGGGAGCTCTTCGGGGCCTGAGGGGGGCATCTTTGGGGTTGTTCGGGCTACTCCTGGGCTCGTCTTCGAGCTCTCTTGGGCTTCTTTGGGCTCTTCTTGGGCTGCTTTGGCGTCCTCGTGGGCCGTCTTGGGGCTTTTTTGGGCCCCTAGGGGTGCTTTTTTGGTGCCCTCGGGGGTTCCTGGGGGCGGAAAGCTAGATTTTGTAGATTTTTGGTGGCCCTCTTCGGGCTCTTTGGGGCTCCCGGGGGCGGACAAGTAGAATTTTGAATTTTTGGTCGCCCTCTTCGGCTCCTCTTGATGCCGTCTGGGAGCCTTCTTGGGCCGTCTCGGGGCCCTTTTGAGCCGTTTTGGGGCCATATTAGGCCGTCGTGGGGCCGTCTTGAGGGGTTCTTTTGGGGTGTCTTGGGGCGGTCTTCGGGGCCTCTTGGGCCGTCTTGGAGCGTCGGAAAGCCCACACGGCGAATGTGTAAAAACATATACGTTTTACGAAGGAGATGAGCAATTTTTTGCGTCTAGGGACCCTCTTGGGACGCACCTTGGAGGCCTCTTGGGGGCGTCTTGGGCCATCTGGAGGCCATCTCGGGTGTCTTTGATCGCTCTTGGACCGTCTGGGACCATGTGGAACTCTCTTGGAAGCCAGTTGGAGCGCTCTTGGAGCGCTCTTGGGGCCGTCTTCAGGGCTCTCTTTGGCCGTCTTCGGCGCCTCTGGAGCCGTCTTGGGCCTCTCTTGGGCTGTCTTGGGGCCCTCTTGGAGGCTTCTTGGACCGTCTTGGGGCGGTCTTGAAGGCCTCTGGGGCCGTCTGGGAGCGTCGGAAAGCCCAAAAGGCGAATGTGTGAAAAATCTACGCTTCACAAAGGAAACGGGCTAACTTTTACGGTTAGGGGCCCTCTTGGGACGTATCTCGGATGCCTCTTGGGGCGTCTTCGGGGCATCTTGGACCGCTGGAGGCCATCTTCGGTGTCTTTGATCGCTCTGGGACCGTCTGGGACCATATTGAGCTCTCTGGGAGGCGACTTGGAGCGCTCCTGGAGCGCTCTTGGGGCCGTCTTCGGGGCCCCCTTGGCCCGTCTTTGACGCCTTTTGGGCTGTCTTGGGGCCCGCTTGGGCTATCTTGGGACCCTCTTGGAGGCTTCTTGAGCCGTCTTGGGGCGGTGTTGGGGTCCTCTTGGGCCGTCTGAGAGCATCGGAAAGCCCAGAAGGCGAATGTATGACAATTGCATGTTATACTCAGGGAATGGGCAAATTTGTGCGTCTAGGGACCCTCTTGGGACGCATCTTGGAGGCATCTTGGGGCCTCTTGGGGACCTCTTGGGCCGTCTTGGAGGCCTCTGAGCCCATTTTTGGGCCAGCTAGGGCGTCTTGGAGCGCTCGTTTAGCGTCTCGGGGCCCTCGTGGGCCGTTTTGGATGCCTCTTGGGGCTTTCTAGGCCCGTCTTGAGGCCCTCTTGGGCCCGGAAAAGCTTCGTGGTGCGCTCGTCCCGTGCGAGGGGGGGGGTCCAAATCTCCGGTTTGGGGTCCCTTGGGGGGGGTTATGGGGGGGAACTACCTCACACGCTTGAGACCCACAAGGGGTCGGCGGATTTTTTAATAACGTCGATCCCCAGAGGTCTCCACCCATTCCCCTGGACCTGTTTTTCATCCTGATGACGGTCCCGAGGCCCAGTAAGGGCCCCCAGAGGCCGAAAACAGCGAAGAACTTCCCGTCCTGATTTTTGTCAGCTCGAGGGGGTCAATTACCCTGGCGACGTACCCAACCCCTGCGCAAAAGCGGGGCGCAAATAGTTTAGGATACTTTATAAGGGGGCGATGACGGAGCGAGGGTTACATATGTCTGCAGACGGAATTCGGGAGACTCGCAGGACACTGGCTACAGGAAAAGGGCTTGATAAAACTGATGATTTACAATTCCTGAACACTCCTAGCCACTTCGAAAACGGGGATCACAGCAGGCCTCGAAAGCGGCGACAGGTTCACAGATCGCAGCCCCGCAGGGATGGCGAGGTCTCATTTGAATCTGCCCGTGGCCCTCACTGTGCTGGGCCCCCCAGCAGGCCTCGAAAATGGCGACAGTTTCGCAGATCGCAGCCCCCCAGGGATGGCGAGGTCTAATTTGAATCCGCGCGTGGCCCTCACTGTGAATGGCGACAGTTTCGCAGATCGCAGCCCCCCAGGGATGGCGAGGTCTAATTTGAATCCGCGCGTGGCCCTCACTGTGCTGGGCCCCCCAGCAGGCCTCGAAAATGGCGACAGTTTCGCAGATCGCAGCCCCCCAGGGATGGCGAGGTCTAATTTGAATCCGCGCGTGGCCCTCACTGTGCTGGGCCCCCCAGCAGGCCTCGAAAATGGCGACAGTTTCGCAGATCGCAGCCCCCCAGGGATGGCGAGGTCTAATTTGAATCCGCGCGTGGCCCTCACTGTGCTGGGCCCCCCAGCAGGCCTCGAAAATGGCGACAGTTTCGCAGATCGCAGCCCCCCAGGGATGGCGAGGTCTAATTTGAATCCGCGCGTGGCCCTCACTGTGCTGGGCCCCCCAGCAGGCCTCGAAAATGGCGACAGTTTCGCAGATCGCAGCCCCCCAGGGATGGCGAGGTCTAATTTGAATCCGCGCGTGGCCCTCACTGTGCTGGGCCCCCCAGCAGGCCTCGAAAATGGCGACAGTTTCGCAGATCGCAGCCCCCCAGGGATGGCGAGGTCTAATTTGAATCCGCGCGTGGCCCTCACTGTGCTGGCCCCCCAGCAGGCCTCGAAATGGCGACAGTTTCACAGATCGCAGCCCCCCAGGGATGGCGAGGTCTAATTTGAATCCGCCGCGATTACCCTCTATGCTGGGCCCCCCAGCAGGCCTCGAAAGTGGCGACAGTTTCACAGATCGCAGCCCCCCAGGGATGGCGAGGTCTAATTTGAATCCGCCGCGATTACCCTCTATGCAGGACCCCCCAGCAGGCCTCGAAAGTGGCGACAGTTTCACAGATCGCAGCCCCCCAGGGATGGCGAGGTCTAATTTGAATCCGCCGCGATTACCCTCTATGCAGGACCCCCCAGCAGGCCTCGAAAGTGGCGACAGTTTCACAGATCGCAGCCCCCCAGGGATGGCGAGGTCTAATTTGAATCCGCCGCGATTACCCTCTATGCAGGACCCCCCAGCAGGCCTCGAAAGTGGCGACAGTTTCACAGATCGCAGCCCCCCAGGGATGGCGAGGTCTAATTTGAATCCGCCGCGATTACCCTCTATGCAGGACCCCCCAGCAGGCCTCGAAAGTGGCGACAGTTTCACAGATCGCAGCCCCCCGCAGGCAAGACAGGAAGAGGCAGGCAGGAGGCAGGAGGGAGGCGGGAGGAGACGCGACCACACTGCTCTATTCAAAACGAATACCCAACCAAGGAGGGTTGGGAATTACCCTGGCGACGTACCCAACCCCTGCGCAAAAGCGGGGCGCAAATAGTTTAGGATACTTTATAAGGGGGCGATGACGGAGCGAGGGTTACACATGTCTGCAGACGGAATTCGGGAGACTCGCAGGACACTGGCTACAGGAAAAGGGCTTGATAAAGCTGATGATTTACAATTCCTGAGCACTCCTAGCCACTTCGAAAACGGGGATCACAGCAGGCCTCGAAAGTGGCGACAGGTTCACAGATCGCAGCCCCGCAGGGACGGCGAGGTCTCATTTGAATCTGCCCGTGGCCCTCACTGTGCTGGGCCCCCCAGCAGGCCTCGAAAATGGCGGCAGTTTCGCAGATCGCAGCCCCCCAGGGATGGCGAGGTCTAATTTGAATCCGCGCGTGGCCCTCACTGTGCTGGGCCCCCCAGCAGGCCTCGAAAGTGGCGACAGTTTCACAGATCGCAGCCCCCCAGGGAGGGCGAGGTCTAATTTGGATCTGCCGCGATTACCCTCTATGCTGGACCCCCCAGCAGGCCTCGAAAGTGGCGACAGTTTCACAGATCGCAGCCCCCCCCCCCAGGGATGGCGAGGTCTAATTTGAATCTGCCGCGATTACCCTCTATGCTGAGCCCCCCAGCAGGCCTCGAAAGTGGCGACAGTTTCACAGATCGCAGCCCCCCAGGAATGGCGAGGTTTAATTTGGATCTGCCGCGATTACCCTCTATGCTGGACCCCCCAGCAGGCTTCGAAACTGGCGACAGTTTCACAGCCCCCCGCAGGCAAGAAAGAAAGAGACAGGAAAGAGGCGGGAGGCGGGAGGAGGAAGGACGCGACCACACTGCTCTATTCAAAACGAATACCCAACCAAGGAGGGTTGGGAAAAAGAAGATTTTGTTTCCTTAGGGAGGGCCGTCAGGAGTCAGAGGGGATGGGCCGACTTTCCACCACCACTACTATAGGTAGGACGGGGGAGAAGTGAGGCGCCCTTATCCCCGGGCCCAGGCGCCGTCAGACAACGGCCCGGGGATGGCAAGAGCCAGCTCGGGGCAGCCCTGAGGCATCGGCGACGACGGCGACGGCGACGGCGACGACGACGGCGGCGGTGGCGACGACGACGGCGGCGGCTGCGGTTTTTCGCCTGGGGCTGGCTTCGCCAACGGTTGGTTTCGCCGGGGGCTGGTTTCGTCGACGGCTGGTTTCGCCGACGGCTGGTTTCGCCGACGACTGGTTTCGCCGAGGGCTTGTCGGCGTCGTCGTCGTCATCGTTGCGATCGTCGGGCGGGACCCTAACGGGCGGGACCCTAAAGGAACGGTCGGGCGGGCGGGACCCTAACGGGCGGGTCGAGCGGGCGGGACATGAAAGCGAACGGGCGGGACCCGACTACGACGACAACGACGACGACGGATGACGAATGACAGATGACGAATGACGAA